TGTGTGACCCACTCGACTCCCCCAGCTGCACAGGTCCCACGCTATGTCCGGGTCAACACCCTGAAGACTTGTGTGGATGATGTGATTGACTTCTTTAAGCGCCAGGGCTACTCCTACCTAGGCAAGGCAGCCAGGTGAGTGGTTCTTTCCACTATCCCACCTTACCTGGGATGCCAGCAAGGGCTTGGAATGAGGTCCAGTGGGTTGAAGAGTTGCTGGTCTTGATGCTCAGGGTGGCTGAGTTGGGGTCTCCATCACCCCCACTCCTAGGTTCTGCTTTCTCCAGGTGCTGCTTGGTGCTGTGGGATGAAGGAGGTTCTCAGCCTGGGCTCTGGTGTGGGCACTATGATCAGGGCTTTGTATTCATCCTCCCTGTATCTCGTGGGCAGTGTGGAGGAGCTGAGGGCCCTCTCTGGAAAGAAGTTCTTGTTGGATCTTCATCTCCCGGAGCTGCTGGTTTTCCCTCCGCAGACAGACTTCCATGACAACCTGCTATATACTTCAGGACACATAATTCTGCAGGACAAGGTGGGGGAAATAGGAAGCAAGAGGCTACAGGGGTGGGAAAAACCTCTGACAGGAGTGAAGGGCCAGCTTCTTCCTCAAGGGCTGAGCCTTGCTGCAGCAGTTAAGTCTGAGCAGGAACTGGATGCAGCTGTGGGGCTCCACAGTGGAGCTTTGCTTCCATTGCCTGTAGGTTTGGGATGGATTCCTGGGCTATAAAACCCCTTGTGGGAACTGGGCACCAGCAGTTGGGAGGAGCGTGGGGCTGTGGGCTGGGAAAGGCATCCTGTGGTGGGTGGTGGTGGCCTTGGCCATGCCACCATGGCAGCCTGAGACCCTACAGCATCAGCTGTACCTGAGAGGAGGTTGGGGTGCTGCTGCCCACCCCTTTCACAGGGCTTGGCCCTCTTGCAGGCCAGCTGCCTCCCTGCCTTCCTCCTCAGCCCTGCTGCTGGCTCCCACGTCATCGATGCCTGTGCTGCCCCTGGGAACAAGACCAGCCACCTGGCTGCCCTCCTGAAGAACAAGGGGTGAGGGCAGGTTTGTTGTGGGGGTGGAGGGAAGGGGGCAGGTGGCCCTGGTCCTCACAAACCCACAGAGAGCACAGGAAGGTGGCAGGAAGAGCTGCAGCCTGTCACCTTGCATCACTTACTCAGGTGAGCTGGTGGCTCTGATAGTGCTGAGCCACTGGAAGCACCTGAGGGGATGTGGAGTCACATAGGGGTTCACTCCCTGCCCCCAACCCCAGCCCTACTCCATACCCCTGCAAGGGGGAGAGCTCCTGAGCTCTGACCACCTGTGTTTGGGGGTTCCCAGGGCTGGGTGGGATGTTCATGCCTCTCTTGGGCACTGGGCTCTACCTCCAGCCAGATCTTTGCCTTTGATGTGGACCCCAAGCGTGTGGCCACCATGAGCACCCTGCTGACACGGGCAGGGGTCACCAGCTGCCAGCTGGCCCAGCAGGACTTCCTGACTGTGGACCCTGGAGACGCCAAGTACAGCAGAGTGACCCACATCCTCCTCGACCCATCCTGCAGCGGCTCAGGTAACGTGTGAGGCTCCATCTGCCCACCTGGAGCCAGGCTGGGGGTGTGTGGACCCCAGGTGATGGCTGCTGTCCTGCAGGGATGGTGACTCGAGGGCCAGGGGAGGAGGCAGCTGCGAGTGCTGAGCGGCTGCAGGCGCTGTCAGGCTTCCAGCGCCGGGTGCTGAGCCATGCCCTGAGCTTCCCAGCTCTCCAGCGCCTTGTCTACTCCACCTGCTCCCTGCACCGGGAGGAGAATGAGGACGTGGTGCAGGCTGTGCTGCAGGAGCAGGGCTCAGCCTTCAGGTGGGTCTGGCTCAGGGGGTTTGGGAGGGCTGTAGAGCAGGGCTGGGTGCTGATCCTTGTCCCACATCACAGGCTGGTGACTGCCTTTCCCTCCTGGCCCTGCCGAGGACTCGCTGCCCTCCCTGGAGCTGAGTGCTGCCTCCGTGCCTCTCCCACAGAGACCCTCACCCAAGGCTTCTTTGTGGCTGTGCTGGAGCGCTGTGGGGCAGGGGCTGCTGCCCCCAGGTGAGAGGAGGGCCTGGGGGGCTCCAGGTGCTGCTGGGGGCACCATGGCCAAGGTCAGGGCTGCTGGGCTCCCAGGGTGCGAGGGGAGGTGGAAGGGTCTGGCTGTAGTGGGTGCAGGAGCCGTGGCACTGCTGAGTGTGGCTTGGGC